AATTAATGCAAAGAATAGTTCTTCAGTGGCAGAGTTTAAACAATGCCCACAAACCATACAGCTATGGAAATAAATTTGTGGACCAAATAGATATTTTCCGGAAATTTTGTTTTCCTGCCTATTTATCAGAAGTTTCCAGTGTTTCCTCCTAGGGCTTGAGTGGTCTCTGGAGATCTTATATATAGATCTGAATGCATTTGTCTTTTTTATATATACTAGGTTTAAATGGCAATGGAAACACTAAGTGCAGCAAACACAAGCTTTGCTGTTGATTTTTTCAAGCATTTGTGCAAGACTCAAACCAACACAAATGTACTGTTTTCACCATGGAGTATTTCATCAGTTATGGCTGCTCTCTACTTTGGGGCTAAAGGCCACACTGCAGAGCAAATCGCAAAGGTAAGTTTTGACTTAATCATAACTGAAAGGTTTGAAAAGAAGACTGGTTTTGCTGTGTAATCTGTTCTCTCTCAAAGTGATCCTCTGCAAATTGTGTTTGGATGCCAATAACCATCATTTCCAGGCAGCATATTGATTGATAAGTCTAAGTTTATAGACCAAATACACCTAGAAACCACCAGATTCGGGGAGAGAGAGATAGGTAGGGTTCTTATTATTCATTGTATTTACATTCTGTAAAGTGGCTACAAACACTAAGGACTAAGAAGGACTAAGTTTTTGAATGAGAATATGGTTTTCCAGACAAGATGAAGCAAATCTAACTGGTCACAAGATGCTCTAAGTGGAGTTTCCAAGCAAGGAAGTTTAACATACCCTCATCTTTGCCTCATCTTTGAATGAGTGAATCAAGTCAAATCAAATCAATTAATATAGATTTAACATACCCTCACATTGCCTCATCTTTGAATGAGTGAATCAAGTCAAATCAAATCAATTAATATAGATTTTATCTGTTATTTATTATTTTATTCAAGAATTTTAAACTGGATATTCCTTGAGTGTTTTTATTTGTTCTGGTCTCTGGTCTTAGACTGTAATAATAAACTTGATTTGATTTGAATGAGTGGTTTATGCTCTCATTGTAGAGCGAATTATTACTTGCCTTGCCTCCTGATTTCTGAAGTTTCACTGTAGCAACACTAACAGCATAATTAGATAAAGAAACCCAAATTTAAAACGCTTTGGATAATGAATGTGTGAATAATGCCATAGAACAGGGGTCTCCAACCTTGGCAACTTTAAGATTTGTGGACTTCAACTCCCAGAATTCCTCAGCCAGCTTCGTTTCTGGGAGTTTAAGTCCACAGGTCTTAAAGTTGCCAAGGTTGGAGATCCCTACCATAGAATGTCTTCAGAGGTAAGCAGCTTTGACTTCTTGAAAGATCACTCAAGTTTGATCATTCAAATGTATAAGTGTGGAGGTATGGATTCATCATCAAAATGCTATAGGATGAGCCTCCTCCCCTATATTTCTACTGTGCTATCACAAAAAGTTGTAATGCCTGAGGCAACAGTAAAAAACAGAAGGGTCATCTCACTAGACTGAAGGTTTAATATCTCCCTATGAGAGAAGGGAGGGAGGGAGGGAGAGAGGAAGGAAAGAAGGAAGGAAGAAGAGTTCAGATGAGGCAGATAACTGTCATCCAGGTCTTTAGTGATCTGTTCTTTTGTGCCAATTTCATCCAAGAGTAAATTTTTCTGCCTGGCATGTTTTACAAAACTGAGTCATACGTGGGTGATGAAACTGTCCTATCTATAGCAGCAGCCCCCAATCTTTTGGTACTAGTTCTGTGGAGAGAGGTTTTTCCATGGTCCGGAAGGGCCTTTTGCATGCTGTCTGCATCTGGCAGATATGGCTTCTCTTGTTTGAGGGCCCGGTTTCTGGCATGTCACGGCCCAATGCTGGTCCATGGACTGGGAGTTGGGGACCCCTGGTCTATAGCAATAATCACTGAAATCTTTTGGACTCCAATCTTGGTATGAATTGCATTTCCTCTTTCTAATATAGCAAGGATGACAAAAGACATATCCAAGTTAATGAATATGACCTAATATGACCGTTGTTTTAAACTGCTTCCTGGTTTACAAGTAGTGAATGTGAGAATGTGTAAATGTATACAGTTAATATAATGGTGCTATGTGTTTATAATGTCTTTCATTGTAGGTGTTTCATTTTAATAAAGCTGGAAGAACTGAGATTGCCTATCCTCTGAGGCACCCACGAGTATATTCCAAAATGGAGGAGCTTTTGAAAAACCCATGCATCTCCCTTACAAAGGTGATTTCTTAAAAATAATTCCCGACTGAATTTCGAATTAAATGAACGTTTATTTAAGGCCAGGCTGAAAATATGTCATCACCAATTGAAATGAAACTATATCCAGTTACAATCTGCATATCTTTACTGCTTAACAGGTCCCAATATTTTCAAAGACAAACTGTACATTATAAGAACAATCACTAACTGGTCCAAGTGCTGTAACTGAAAACCATACAATTAAAAGATCAAGTCACAAAGATTTACAAATAAATTTACAGTAGCATGCAGGATATAAATACCCTACAACTAAATGCCTCTCCCCTCCACTTCTCATTAATTTTGTTTTTTTTTCTTTTAGCCTTCCCCTGAAATACAAAGTAACATCCATTCAAGATTCCAAGCCCTAAATCAAGAAATCAACAAATCCACCAAAAATGTTCTGCTAAGTAATGTCAATCAAATATATGGGGATAAATCAGTGTCTTTTCAAAGAGTGAGTGTCACCTTTGTTTTAGTACTGATAATGTATTAATAATTATATATTGTTAAAGTTTTGGCTTTGGGGCTAAAGATATTGCTGTTTAATAAACATATTAAACTTCATCTTACCTGTAAGGACTTCTCAGAATCAATGAAGAAATATTATAAAGTTGAGCCACGAACAGTAAACTTTCAAGAAACTGCAGACGATGCAAGAAAGGAGATCAATGCATGGGTTGAACAGCAGACAGCAGGTAAATTCCAAATATTTGGTCAGGCTTTTATAAAGAAGTTGGCTTTCCTTACTCTTTCCCCCACTATATTTTACAACATGCAAGCATTTGGTAGCTTGTAACTGAATACAGTATGTTTACAATGTAAAGAAGCAAGAAGCAAGCGTAAAGTGGAACTGGTATAAGAGCTGCATTAGGTTACAATTGCTTGGGGAATTGAACAGAGGGAATATACAAAAAGCTTCCTGCAGAATAAACACTGTGAGGAAGGATTTGATAATACTAACTTGCTTCCATCTTGAATGTCACTCAAAGGAGCTACTAGTTTTAAGTGTAAAGGTGTCACAGGAGAAAACTAAGTGAAGTTGTTTTAAAGCAGGATTTTAATCAGCAATAAGCGCTACAATTGGAACAATGAAAGTCTGTATGTAAAGAAGTAAGGTCATAAAAATATCATACAGATAAGCACAGCCATACTTAAAAGATAAAATTGGATTTCTTAAGTGATTATTGTTAGATCGGTGGATCGGGTCACATAAGAGGCGAGACACGATAGTGAACATTCAGCTCTTTATTGTAGCTTGGGAACAAGGTCAGCAAAAGCTTGCAAGCCGCTTGGCTTTATACAGCCGGCCGGCGGCTCAGCGGCCAATGGCAGCGCTTTAAATCTCCCGCGATCGGCTCAGCCAATCGCGATAGATTCTTAGCGCTCCAATCACAGGAGTTCAGTAAGCCAATCACGTTGCGGTCCGGGTGGACCAATCGGAATGCAAGTCTACAAGAAGGCAAATACAGAACAATTATTTTAGCCTATATTTCCACCTTTACACTTTTGTCATGTAAATAAAGTTGCAGAAACATTATTTTTCTCATTCCTTCTGTGATAAGGTAAAATCCTCAGCCTGTT